GTGGCGCACGGGCTTAGTTGCTCTGCGGCATGTGGGATCTTCCCAGACCAGGACTACGAACCCCTGTCCCCTGTATTGGCAGGTGGATTCTTAACCACTGCGCCACTAGAGAAGCCATTTGCCTATACTTCTTTTCGCTTTTTTTGAGATGCATGATGCATGTATCTCAAAGATGCATTATGATGTAATGTCTATTTTTCCTAATAGATGCCGCCAGGCAGTCAGTAAAATCAAGAATAGAGAAGATTCTGAGCCCCATCCCAACTTGCTCACTCCTGGCAGGGCCCTGATGCTGTTGGTAGCCTGGGTTTCCAGCCCCCAACACAGGGTTGAGTCCTATGTTTGTGGGGTGGGGAAGCAGGGGAGAGATGGCTGGGAGGGAGGTCCTTCTGCAAAGAGGGACCCTGAGGCCTTCCCCAGTGTTTGAGATCCCACCAGGCCTTGCTGAGGAACAGTATTACAGGGAGGACAAGGGAGATGTCTGGAGAGAGGGAGAGGTTTGAACTTCAGGCGCCAGTTCTCAGTATGTCACAAAGACGTGTTGAGTTAGATACAATCTGAACACATTTTATTCCTTCATCCATTTATGATTTCATTCATTCATTCATGCGTTCTTTCAGTATTCCCTGAGCACCTGCTCTGCCACCAGCCTTGTGCTATCTGATGATGGGGACACAGTGGTGACTTAGTCCCAGACCCTTTCCTTCTGACTCCCACGTCCAGTTGGGGCACAGGCAATAATGACCCAGAGTGAGCAGGTCTGGGAAGAAGGGCCAAGGGTGATAGGGAGGGCTTCCTGTAGGAGGGCACATCTGAGCTGTGATTTTAAGAATAAGCAAGAATTGTGACTGTTTCAGAGGGGGCTCAGCCCTGGGAGGGCGGAGGGTGGGACAGGGCGAGTCACCCCGTGGGCCTTGGTGAGGATTCGGGTTTAATCTGAGTGCACTGTGAGCCAAGAAAACATCCTGAACAGGGAATGAAAGTGGTGAGACTTGGGTCTGTGGAAAATCCTAGTGTCTGTCTCCTGTGAGGGGGGTGGACAGACAGGAAGCAGGAAACCAGAGAGGATGCTTCTGGAGCAGAAATAATCATGCAATTACCAGAGTTCTAAATGTCTGACCTCTCTCAAGGGGGTGGGATGTATAGCACACTCGTTTCCCAGAGCCATTTCTTCCCCTGTTCTTCAGGCCTCCCCTCCTCTTACAGCTGCAGGGTAGAAAAGTGTTCTCCGAACTGTGGGTCGTGACACTCCTTCAGGTTGTAAAACCAATGAATTTATCTTAATGAGTTCTTTGAGAATGAAAAGAGAATTGATGGAAGATAGAATCGTGTGCACTGCAGAGAATCTTAACTCACATAAGGATGTAATATCTATCTTTCCCAGTGAGTCATATACAATGGGTAATAAACACACACGATTGGAAAGACTCCAGGCACAGGCTTGTCTTCTGCTTTCCTCAGAGCCAGTGACTTAGCTGTCCCATCATGTCTTCCCAAAAAATAGGTTCAGCTCTCACATCCTCCATCCCAGGTGCTTCCTGGAGTGGCTGAAGGTAGGCTTGGCACCCAGCCTGGCATCTCTACCAAAAAGAGGGGCGAGGTAGGTCTGGATACCTGCCAGTTCCAGAGAGAAGCTGGTTGCCCAGGGCAGGCTTAGGGTTGGCATCCCTTGAGAGGAGCCCAGCCCCCTCCCCTCCCCCCATCTGGAGCCTCATCTCTCCAGGGGGCTGAGTCAGGACCTGGGTGGAAAAGTGAGAGGAGATCAGGGCAGGGCTAGAGGGTGGGTCTCAGAGGCTGTACTGGTGGGAGGACATTGAGGGCCAGGCCAGGGCTCCATGGACACTGAGAACACCAGACTCAAGAGTGATGAGGCTTCGGGGTCAGAGAGTCTTGGGTTTGAATTGCTATACTTTCTCAAAGGGCCAAATAGGCCATTTATAGGTAACACTATTCCTGTCCTTGTATAAGAGGAGGACTTGCTTTCTCATATTTGACTCTGACAGCATTTTTTTTTCCTTTGGCTGCTTCGAGTCTTAGCTGTGGCACGCGGGATCATCATTGAGGCATGTGGGATCTTTTGCTGTGGTGCGTGGGCTTCTCTCTAGTTGTGGCGCACCAGCTCCAGAGCAGGTGGACTCTATAGTTTGTGGCACGTGAGCTCTCTAGTTGAGGCGCCTGGGCTCAGTAGTTGTGGCTCGTGAGCTTGGTTGTCCCATGGCATGTGGGATCTTAGTTCCCTGACCAGGGATCAAACCTGTGTCCCCTGCATTGGAAGGTGGATTCTTTACCACTGGACCACCAGGGAAGTCCCTGAGCTGTTTTTCAGATACTGAAAGCCCCACCACGTGGAAGAAGTTAACTATTTGCTGACCACAAGCACATAGATCCCAGACCAGTTGGAACCAGAAGGTTGATAATGTTGACTCCCGATTTCCTCACCACCAACCAATCAGAAGAAAAGCTGATCGTGCACCCTACAACCCCTCTTCCTCATCCTGTCTTTAAAAATCTTTCACTGGAAGCCATTGGGGAGTTTGGGTCTTTTAAGCACTAGCTGCCCATTCTCCTTGCTTGGCGCCCTGCAGTAAACGCTGCACTTTCCTTCATCACAACCTGGTGTCAGTAGATTGGCTTTACTGCACACAGGCGAGCAGGCCCATGTTTGGTTCTGTAACACTAGGTGATGTGAGGACACAGTGCCAACTCAGTAGCAGATCCTGTGCCATCACTGGGAACACAGATCCAGCCTCTGACTCAGGAAGGTCAGGGCTGGTTGGGAAGCCATAGGTGGGGAAGACCAAGTGCTACCTGGAGAGAGTCTGCGATGATGATACTGGAGAAGCGGCATCTTCCCTGAGATTTCAAGGATGAGTTAGAATTGTGGCTGATTCAGTGAATCTGGAGCCTCTAAAAGCAGAGGGTGGGCGCAGGAGAGGGGCTGGAGGTGGCAGGGCTGGTCATCTCGTGAGGCTTTCAGATACTCTGGGTATGATCCTGAGCTCACGGGGCACTGTGGAGGGATCATAAGCAGGGGATGAAGGTGGTCAAATCTGTGTCTGTGGAACTTCCTGGTGTCTATCTGCTGTGAAGAAGGTGGACAGGAGAGTTAGTAGAAGCAGGAGACCAGGGAGAAGGCTTCTGAAGCAGAAGTCACCACCCTGTAGCAGGGAACTGATCACCCCCTTTCTCCTGACAGAGGATGTGGTAATTCCACCTCCTCTTGCAGGACCATTTCCCCGTCTGCTCTCTGGCCCCATCCCTTACAGCAGCAGGTAGAACAATATTTCCCAAGGAAAAGACTGGGGCATCCTGGTAGGATGTAAAGCCAATTCACTTGGGCATAAACAATAGTATGTTTTACTTGTATAAGAATAGACTAGAATACGGGAGAGTGTGCTCTGAACAGGATGCTGTGCTACACTGTTTAATGCACTTTCTCTTGTGACTGTGTATAAGCTACATAATGACGTAATACCTATTTTCCCCAGTGAGCCACAGACAAGTGGTTACAACATTTGAGAAAAGAGAAGGTTTGGGGATCACCTCCTCTTTTCCTACGAATCACTAATGGGCTTCCCTGGTGGCGCAGTGGTTAAGAATCCGCCTGCTAGTGCAGGGGACACGGGTTCAAGCCCTGGTCCGGGAAGATCTCACATGCGGCGAAGCAACTAAGCCCGTGCGCCACAACTACTGAGCCTGTGCTCTAGAACCCATGAGCCACAACTACTGAAGCCCGTGTGCCTAGAGCCCGTGCTCTGCAACAAGAGAAGCCACCGCAGTGAGAAGCCCACCCACCGCAATGAAGACCCAACGCAGCCAAAATAAAATTAAATTAATTAATTAATTTAAAAAAAAATCACTAACTTACCTGCCCCATCACGTGTTCTAATAAAGGGGTTTGAGAATTCCCTGGGGATCCAGTGGTTAGGTCTCCATGGTTTCTACTGTAGGGGGCGTAGGTTCCATCCCCGGTCAGGGAACTAGGATCCTGCATGCTGCACTGCATGGCCTAAATGAATGAATGAATGAATGTATAAATAAATAAATAAAAGGGTTCATCTCTTTGGTCCTCAGTATCAGGATTTTCCTGGAGGAATGCAAACCTGGTTGTCTCAACCAAAAAGAGAAGTTAGGCCAGGACTGGATCCCAGCCAGGGTGAGAGACAGAAGCACAGTCCCCAGGCCAGCATCAGGGTTAACATCTCTGTGGAGGGAGGAATCCAGCCCACCCTCCCTGGCCTGGAGTCTGATCTCTCAGGGCAGCTGAGTCAGGCCCTGGGGTAGGAAAGTGGAGAGAGATCCTGACACTGCAGGGGAAACTCAGAGGCTGTGCTGTTAGGAGGGCAGCGGGGACCAGGCCAGGGCTCGATGGACGCTGAGAGCCCCTGGTTTGACAGTGATGAGGCTTTGTGCTGGCATCCTGCTTCTATCCCTTCTCAAGTGTCATAAAAGCCATTACACACAGCACTATGCAATCTCACCACCAGCTCCCTCAGAGGCCCCATCCTATTCGGCCCACCTTGGTCCTCTCTGTGTGGGAGTGGCCCTGTCTTCTGCTCCTGAGCCCAGCTTCGTGAGGCAGGGCCGAGGCTGCTGAGTGGAAGCTGTCTCAGGCGTTGGGACACTCTGCTTCTACCATGTCTAAAAGATTCTGGGTTTCTGGACAGTAAGGGTGAGATCAATTGACCAGTTATTGAATTCTCTCAACCCGCTCCCTGGATTCAAACAAGATAGTGACCTGAGGTCCCATGCTGGTCAGTGATACAGGCTGGAATAGATCTCAGGTCTCCTGAATCCCAGTCCAAGAGCCTCCAGACCCTCTAGGAAGGACAGGCTGGACCTGGTCAGGCACCCCTGAACAAGACCTGGCTTGTCCTTCCCACAGCTTTTAGTCAAGGATGGTGGAGCTGGGCTCCTGGATGTGAAACCCAGGAGGATGCTTTCAGTTCTTGTTTTTTTAAAAAAAGATATTTATTTATCTATCTATCTATCTGTGCCAGGTCTTCGTTGCGGCATGTGGGATCTAGTCCCCTGACCAGGGATTGAACCTGGGCCCCCTGTGTTGGGAGTGCAGAGTCTTAACCACTGGACCACCAGAGAAGTCCCCATCAGTTCCTGTCTTCATGTACTTCTTCGCTGGATTCCCCTTTGCCCCAGGAATAAATTGATTGAATCTTCCTCCTGGCAGCATCTAGGTGTTATTTTTATCTGGCCACAGGGAACCTCTCCCAGGAAACAGGCAGGAAAGAGGTGGACTTTCAGGATTACAGAGAGAATGTCAGGTGCATAGTAAGAGGGGCTGGGGGTAGGAAAATGACCTAGAGAAAGGCACTTGTTTTCTAGGACTTACAAAGGCCTTTGAATGCTTTCGTTCATTTATTTATTTATCATGCCCTTGGGTCTTTGTGTCTGCGCCTGGGCTTTCTCTAGTTGTGGCCAGCACGGGCTACTCTTCATTTTCAAATTGTATGAAAAACTGGTTAGAATGGCACTAGATATATTTTTATATATTGCAGCATTTTATTTTTTTATTATCAAGGAAGTGATATTTTAATTGTCTTAACATCTTTATTGGAGTATAATTGCTTTACATTGTTGTGTTAGTTTCTGCTGTGTAACAAAGTGAATATATGTATACATGTATCCCCATATCCCCTCCCCCTCCCCCTCCCTATCTCACCCCTCTAGGTGGTCACAAAACACCGAGCTGATCTCCCTGTGCTGTGAAGTTGCTTCCCACTAGCTAGCTATTTTACATTTGGTAGTGTATATATGCCAATGCTACTCTCTCACTTCGTCCCAGCTTACCCTTCCCCCTCCCTGTGTCCTCAAGTCCATTCTCTACATCTAGTGCAGCATTTTAAAAAGAAATTCTTCCCATCCAGGAGTATGATCTATTTTACAATATTTGGTAAGTATCTTCCTCAGGGGAGTATTATGTGGTATTGTCTATGGAAGATAAAGTAACAATTGTCTGTCTTTATTTCTGGATTTACACAGAGGACTTTTTAAGAAAGAACTTAATTTGCATAGACATTCCACACCAATGTATGAAAGTAATATCATTTTTTAATCTTTGTATTTTTTTAATTTAAATTTTATTTTATATTGGATGGAGTATAGCTGATTTACAATATTGTGTTTGTTTCAGGTGTACGGCAAAGTGATTCAGTTATACATATGCTTATATCCGTTCTTTTTCAGATTCTTTTCTTTCTTTTTTTAAAAAATATTTATTTATTTATTTGGTTGCACTGGGTCTTAGTTGTGGTGGGCTCCTTAGTTGCAGCTCCAGGGCTCCTTAGTTGTGGCAGGCGGGCTCCTTATTTGTGGCATGCGAACTCTTAATTGTGGCATGCATGTGGGATCTAGTTCCCTGACCAGGGATGGAACCCAGTCCCCCTGCATTGGGAGCGTGGAGTCTTATCCACTGCGCCACCAGGGAAGTCCCCAGATTCTTTTCCCATATAGGTGATTACAGAATACTGAGGGACTTCCCTGGTCCAGTGGTTAAGACTTTGCCTTCCAGTGCAGAGGGTGAGGGTTCGATCCCTGGTCGAGGAGCTGAGATCCCACATGCCTCAAGGCCAAAAAACCAAAACATAAAATAGAGACAAATATAAAATAGTAACAAATTCAATAAAGACTTTAAAAATGGTCCACCTCAGGGCTTCCCTGGTGGCGCAGTGGTTGAGAGTCCACCTGACAATGCAGGGGACACGGGTTCGTGCCCCAGTCCGGGAAGATCCCACATGCCGCGGAGCGGCTGGGCCCGTGAGCCATGGCCGCTGAGCCTGCGTGTCCAGAGCTTGTGCTCCGCAGCGGGAGAGGAAAAAAAAAAGAGAGACCAAAAAACAAAAAAAAAAAAAAAAAAAAAAAAATTAAAAATGGTCCACCTCAAAAAAAATCTTTAAAAAAAGGAATATTGAGTAGAGTTCCCTATAGTATACAGTAGGTCCTTGTTGGTTATTTATTTTACATTTAGTAGTGTGCATATGTTAATCCCAAACTCCTAATTTATCCCTCCTCCCCACCTTTCCCCAGTAATATCACTTTGAAGTAAAGTGAGAGGTATTAATAGGCTCAAATTATTAAAAGTAATCAAAGTTAATTTCATGGATAATGAGACAAATCATAATCACGTGTCACTGGAAAGGATGCAATAAGAAGACTGAATCCCTTCTGCGGCATTCCTACCAGAGGTGTATATCCTGTAGTGAATGATGAGAAAACATCAGACAAACCCAAATCGAGGGATGTTCTACAAAGTAACTGGCCTGGGACTTCCCTGGTGGTCCCGTGGTTACGACTCCGTGCTTCCACTTCAGGGGACGTGGGATCGATTCCTGGTCCGGGAACTAAGATCCCACATCCTGTGCGGTGCAGCCAAAAAATAAAATAATAATAATAAAATAAATAATAACTGGCCTGCAAGCTTCAAAAGGGTGAAGACCATGAAAGTCAAATAAGACATGACAATTAAGTGTAGTGGGTGGTTCTGACTTGGGCCCTGTTGTTATAAAGGGGGACAATTTTTGAAACCTGAATGCAGTCTGAGGCTTAAAAGGTAGTGATGTGTCATGTGAATTTCCTGATATTGAAGGTAGTTATGTAGGAAAAGTGGCCCTTGTTTGCAGTAATTACGCACAAAATATTCAAAGGTGAGGTGATGAGGCATTATGTCGGCCGCTTACTCTCAATGGCTCTGGAAACCAAAGCGAGGTAATAATATTTGTCTTATAGGATAGATGTGAGGATTAAATGATATGATGTGAAATCTTGTAACATTCCTTGGCACATAATATTTCACTAAATTGAAGGTGTTCTTATTATGTAAAATCAAGACACTAAAAATATGTAATCAATGTGACCTTTACCTGTAGCTATTTCTTCACAAACACACACGCACACACTTTTTAGGTATGTATGTTTGAGTGTGTATATCATCACATCCACCAGGGGGCGCGTCAGGCTTAGGTTACGGCTTCACTGTTTTTTAGTTTAGGTAGACCACTTGTTCTCATATGCTTTGGTCTCAGAACGTCTTTATGCTCTTAAAAAATGTTGAGGACCCCCAGAGAGTCTTTGCTTGTGTGGGTAATATACAATATGGTGTACTGTTCAATCAGCCTTCTGAAAAAAATCCATGATATGATGTTTCTATGGTGTAAATACTTCATCATGGCCCATTTCACGCTATCAAAGTTTTAACAACTGGTACACATGATCTTAAATTTAACAATTCACTCTCCCAAGCCAGTAAGGGCTGGCACCAGCACACCACAGGGTAGTTATTCATATTTACCTTATATAAATTTAAACTGATAATTTTTAAAGATTTATTTATTCGTTGAAAAGTAGCAATGATAAATCCATTACATGTTAATATCAGAGCAATGATATCATCAGACATCACATAGCTTCTGGAAAACTTTACCTTATAGTAGGAAGAAGAGGAAAGCCAATAATATCTTAGTATTCTTATGAGGATGGTTTTGACCTTGTGGAGCTCATGAAAGGATCTCAGAGGCTCCCAGGGGTCTGCAGACCATACTGGGGAATCACTGGCTTAGTAATATAATATAATATAGTATATCTTAAATCTATTCAATCCAGTACCCCCTTTAAAAATAATAGATTTTTATAGTATTCCTTTTATTACCAGGAAACAAAATTCATGCACAGCATAACTTATTTGTACATATAATCTCTAACTTAAAATTATTGCAATACGTTATCTGTAGTTTAGAAAAGAAACAAAAGAAAAATACACTCTAGAATCCTTTACTAGACATGTGTGTTTAGGAATGAAGCATGTGTTTGGTTTTTAGAAAGGTGGTTTGTGTATATGGCATATATGAGGTCAGCCCAGCTAGGCTCAGGGTGGCTCCTGGAATCAAACAGATCAATATTTCCGCAGTGAAATGTGGGCTGTTTATCCCACCACAGTGGGATAAATATAGATTACCAAAATAGCCCAGGTCGGGTCAGGTTTTGCTGTCAAGTACACTAGACAACAATCTCTCCTTTTCAGAGCTATTTGGATCCTGGAATTGTGGATGACTGATGGTGAGCCTGTAATCTATGATTAAATATGGAGTGTTCCATTAGGTCAGTGTTCTCAGACACTACAGGGCCCGATGTTCCTGCTTTTGATGAATTATAAGTTTAGATTTAAGGTGAAGAAGACAAGATTCAGTCAGATTTTTATCTTTATATTTGACATTTTGAAATAAGGGCTAAATAAAAAACATTCATATGTCTATTAAGAGAGAAACCAAAACAGAGTGACCAGCTAGATTGTCTGGGATTCAAATACCCTAAGGAGGGAGAATGTCAGTGATATGATTCTCTGACATGGTGAGCACTCCTAATACCAACTTTTGCCCCAAACAGGGTATGATCTTCCCTTGATTCACATGTAGTTGCTTTCCTGAAAAATTCAGAGTATATTAAAATAGTGTAAAATTTTTGCTGTTTATATGTAAAATGGGAGCCACTGTAGCCTAAGATGATCCTTAACAGATTCTTCCTGCACCTACGAACTCGGGCAGGAACCCAGGAAACCCCTCCTGGTCTGGGCTGCACAGTGCATTGCAAGAATCTGGGTTCCCGGGCCCTGGCCACCAAATACCAGAAGCCCTACAGATTTACATACATCTCCCAGGACTGCCCCAGCTACTGGGTCTTGCTCACTGAACCCTCAAGGAGGGATGTGCCAGGGAGGTGGGGTCTCAGGGCGCTGGGAGGGGCCTCCTGGCCTCCCAGAGTGGAGCGACAGATTCTCCTGCAGGGGGCGCCAAAGCGCTGAGCACGCGAGCAGGGGACTCCGGCCACAGTGCAGAGGCGGGGCAGTTACCTGCATCTACACCAACATACACATCAGCGTCTGCATAGGGAACCATGACATGCAAGAGACTTTTACATGTGTGTGATTATAGTCGTGCGTGTGTTTCACATGTTTTATTGATGACAGGTGCCCTTATTTACAGAACCCAGATATGGGTCACTATCTGTGTGTGCAACAACATGCATCCACGTGCTAGCATCAACAAGCAGGCTCACATCAAGGCATGCCTAATGCCAAGACATATATCTTGACCATGGCATGTACTGACACGTCTATTTGTCAGAATCCACGTGTTGCTACTGACTTGTGTGTTAATGGCAGCCTGTTA